TCTCATTCATTCACTCTCTCACTCACTCTCTCACTCATTCACTCACTCACTCTCACCACTCACTCACTCACCACTCACTCACTCACTCACTCTCTCACTCCACTCTCTCACTCATTCACTCACTCACTCACCACTCACTCACCACTCACTCACTCTCTCACTCACTCACTCTCTCAATCACTCACAAAAAAAAAATGCTTATGACTTCAATGCACTTCTTGTCATCAAACCATTCTCAGCATATGAATGATTCAATTTTACAAACAGAGAATACATTACATGCATTTTTAAAAGTCATTTTAAAATGAGGCCAATAAGAACACATGGGGGGGTGGGGTTGAATTGGACAAATGTTTTTCAGGATTTCAGGGTCAGAATAAAAATCTTGGCCTATGCTATATTCATCAAACTTAATTCTATAAATTTGTAGTTCTTAGAAATCTCCTTTAAGGACTTAGGAAAAGGTCTAAAGTTATAATGACCCTAAGGATTCAACTATTTTCCTTCTTCAATGTCATTTCACCTAGGATCCCAATTGTCCCATTCACCTGCTTCCCAGAATCTCTGTTAGCAGTGCTTGTTCACTCCCTTGGGAATATATCTGCTGCTAAGCCCCTTCATGTTAGGCTACCAGTGAGTGCTTTCTGTTATTAATGGTTCCCCATGCTTCTATCTCAACCCAGCACAAAGAGGGAAAAATCCAATTATTCTAATTTGCATTTCTCTAATGGCTAATGACTTTAAGTGTCTGTACATGGCTTATTGTCTATATGTACATATAGTTTGCAGAAATGTCTATACAGATGATAGCCACTTTTTAATTAGACTGTGTGCATTTTTATTGTTGAGTTGCAAGAGCCGACACCTCTGTGCTTCAATCAAAAGCAAATTCCGAGTTCACTATAAGGAAAAGGCCTATCCTATTTCATTCACTAATAATGTATTTTCTCCAGAACTAGCAGAGTCTCTCAGATAGGAAATGAAATTCTTTTTTCCCCTCGTTTCTTAACTACCACCTCAATAACGCTAGTAAAAACAGCAATGATATCACTCACTGGCATCCAGTCAATGCCGACTCATAGCAAGACCCCGGTGAGTTTCTGAGACTGTAACTCTTTATGGGAGTAGAAACCCGGTCTTTCTCCTGCAGGGCCACTAGTGGTTCTGAACTGCTGACCTTGCAGTTAACAACCCAAGGTTCCTATACCTTTCTCTAAATATGGACCATAGAGCATAACATTCAAAGAGCACATGTTCTCAAATCAGAATGTCTAGATTTCACCACTTCTCTAGATGGTTGTGATGAAGTCAAAGTAACTACATGTGGCTCTTCTATCTATTTTTCTATAACTCCTATCATATGAAACAGGGGAAGAGGGCTGTTGACTCAGGGATTGGTCCGTTTTGTCATTCCCCTGACTGTAAGAATGAGGCACCTCAGAAGCATGAAGAGAGAGTTCTGGGACCATCGAGGAAGAAGACCCGCTAGTGGAGCGTGTTGGAAATCCCTGCCTGAAGTGGCAGAGGCAGCAGAGGCCACCCCACACCAAGACCAGAGTCGAAAGCAAGGAGACCACGAGACAGAAGAGAGCAGGGCCCAGACTTGAGACTGTGAGGCAAGCAATGAGTGGACTTCCTGGTCCATGAAGGAAGAGGCCAAGGGATCACATGGTTGAGATCCTGAGGACCAGAGAGAGAGTTGCCTGCTGAAGAGAGGTGTTGCTGTGGATCAATGCCTGTGTCCCTACTGTTCTGGTCCTGGCTTGTGGTAACTTGTTAACTTTCCTAGTAAGCCCCATCAATTGTGATTACTATGTGGCCACTGCAGTGAATTATTGAACCCAGCAGAGGGGTAGAGGGCTGTGGAAGGAATGGTTGGTGTCAGAATAGGGTAAAGGAAGATGGCGGCACGTCTGACCTCCCACTTGTGGCAACTAGCCTTGGGCTGGTGTTGATGGATTCTCCTTCTCGCTTGTATAGCCAGAGGAGGTCAGCTGTGGCCCCCATGCCATTTCCTCACTGTTTAACCTGAGCTCATCACTTCACTGTGTGGTTATGAGCTGGGCAGTTAACCAAAAGGTCAGCAGTTAGAAACCACCACCAGCTCCTAGGGAAAATGAAGAGGTTTCCTACTCCCGTAAAAGGTTAAAGTCTCATGAAGTCTCAAAAACAAATTTTGGAATCAGTGGCGGAGGGCTTGGCACTTCACCAGATCCCAATGGAAAACATTCAGAAGGGACAGCAGACCTGGAACTATTTATAGGCTCTTTTTCTTTTTCTCATGTCTATCCATATAAGATAGGCAGGATAACCAAACCCGAGGCGAAAACAACGGACCGACGGCTCTGGAGGTGGGAGAAAGGAGCCAACAAACCCAGGGTCAAGGGAACAATTAGAGATCTAAAACTGATGGTAAGGAGGTCATAGAATGCCTGCTGGGGTTTGATCAAGTGCAATGTAGCCGAGAGAAAGTACTGAGAGCCAAATGAAGGTCGAACATGATAGTGGGACAAGGGAAAAGTAAAAAGAAATATAGGAAAGAACTACGAAGCAAAAGACATTTATAGAGGTATAAAAATAGGCATGCACATATGTAACTACATTAACATATAATAAGTATCTAGGTTTATGTACATATATTTAAATGTTAAGTATTAAGGTAGTAGACGGACATTGGGTCTCTACTCAAGTACACCCTCAATGCAAGAACACTTTGTTCTAATAACCTGGCATTCTGTAAAGCTACCTTCCTGACACAATTGCTGAAGTCAAAATGGGTACATAAGCAAATGTGGTGAAAAAAGCTTATGGTGCCCAGCTATTACATGATATAGCATCTGGGGTCTTAAAGGCTTGAAAGATAAGCAAGCAGACATCTAGCAGGAAGCAACAAAGCCCACATGGAAGAAACACACCAGCCTGTGTGATCATGAGGTGCCCACGGGAACAGATTATCAGGCATCAGAAGACACAAACAAACAATCATATAGATGTGAACAAGGAGGGTCAGAGTGGAGACCCAAAGTCCATCTGTAGACAATTGGACATCCCCTCACAGAAGAGTGACAAGGAAGGGATGAGCCAGGCAGGGCACAGTATGGCACCAATGGAGACACACAACATTCCTGTAGTTCTTGAATGCTTCCCCTCCCTCACCCCACACTCATGACCCCGGTCTACCTTACAAATCTGGCTAGACCAGAGCATATACACTAGTACAGATAAGAGCGCTTGACACACGGAATCCAAGGCAGACAAACCCCTCAGGTACAGTAATAGGAGTAAGAAGATCATGAGGGTAGGGGGAAGGTTGGAGGAAAAGAGGGAGAAATGGGGAACTGACTACAATGATGGACATATAATTCCCCACCCCTACGCCCTCAGGGGAACGAACAACAGAAACGTGGGCAAAGGGAGACAGCAGACAGTGTACGATATTAAAATAATAATAATTTATAATTTATCAGGGGTCCCAAGGGTGGGAGAGTAGGGGAGGAAGGGAAAAAAGAGAAGCTGATACCAAGGGCTCAAGCAGAGAAAAAATTGTTTTGAAAACAATGATGGCAACATATGTGCAAATCTGCTTGATACAACTCATGTATGGCTTGTCATAAGCTGTAAGAGCCCTCAATAAAGTGATTTATTAATTAAAAAAACTAAGGTCTCAGAAACTCACAGGGGCAGTTCTACCCTGTCTTATAGGGTTGCTATGAGTTGGCATCCACTTGATAGAAGTGAGGCTTTTTGTTCAGTGTTTTTTTTTAATTCGTTTTGTGGTGGTTACCTGGTGGCCAGTTTGACCACCAGCAGCTCTGCCGGGGACAGACTGGGCTTTCTCCTGCTGCCAACAGTTAGTCCCGGGTACCCACAGGGGGTGGCTGCGTCGGCATTGACTTGACGGCAGTGAGTTTGGTTTCCAAATTTGTACTGTTCTAAACTAGCTCTTCCTGGCCAATAAAATGGGAAGTAATTCCATTCATCTCATAGAGCACTGTAGGAATGAAACGTCAAGCTAAATGGGAGGAGCTTGCTTGGCGCACTGGAAACATTGAGTAAAAGTTAGTGATACTCACTAGTCTTTAGTAGGGATGCGAAATGCACGTGGGGGTGGGAGAAAGAGTCCCTCAACCTCTTCGTCTCCTCACACTTTGGTCAATGCAGGCAGGCTTTTATAGTTAGTGAGAAACACCACAGAAATAACGTTACCTTGATTCTCCCTGGCCGGGTTTCTTCAATGACCATGCTATTTGTGGGCCACGGTAATGCTCTGGGTAGGCGCCCAATGATATTTCTCGCTATCTCAAAGTGTTTAAGAGCGTCTGAAAATCTAAAGTTAAAATTACGAAGCAAGCAAGTGTTAAAGATGTGATGGGGTATTTTCATTCACAGCCACCAAAGTCATAGGGAGATTTGATGCTTTCCAAGTAAGAGTAAATCTAGTAAGTCAGGGGGACAGAACTATTCAATGTAACCATATTTTTTAAAAAAGACCAAAACCAGCCATAGCCTTATGCTATTTAATACGATAATTTAAACATAACTCTGTCCTGAACACTGGTTCTACTATGGTGAGTACACATCATACCTCCTAAAGTTGCCATGCATTTTTTATAGTTTGAACAGTTAAAAGAAAAACTGACTAATTTGGTTGTTTCATTTTTATTTCACATACTAAGGTAATTTGAATACATCCTTTAGAGAAATAAGAAATTCAAGGACTCAATCATAAAGATGAGATTTTGTTAACATGAACTTGTCACCACAGACTCCAAGTCCGTTTCAATCTTAGTTCCTTCTCTCTTTCTTAAGCAATGAAGACCACTATTCAGACTTGAGGGATAAGGAATTTGGAAAGGTTTCTTTTTTATTGGGGGGGGGTGTTAAAGAAACATACTATGTTTATACAGTCTGTCTCAAGAAATGAGCAACAACAATATCCTGTTAAACCCTCCATATACATGGTCTTTTTCTCCCCCTGCCTCCCACTTCCATAACCCATCCCTCCCCTCTCCCTGTTCAATATGGGATTTTTAAAAAACTTGGCACTGATAGTAAAAGATCAAAAAACTCTCCAGTGAAAATAACTTGAAAGGATCCTATATTCTGAAAATTTACTCAACTACAAAGCAGTATATCATTTTAATTAAGTCAAATTATGGTAACTATTAATATGGAATGCTTGAATTCTGACTTGATTCATGACTTTAAAAAAAAGTTAACGGCTGGAAACGGATCTGCTCTGTAAACCTTCACCCAACTCACAATAAAACATGTCGACATTGTTTAGTCGACACAACAGAAGAATCTTAGGAAACTAGCTTATAAAGTTGGTCATAGCGTTGTTCTTTTCTTCAGACTAGAAAAGGTGTCCTGCTTTTTTCAATCTTCAAATAATTTCAAGACAAGACCTTGTTTGCTTGTTTTTAAGACCTTGTTTTGTCTATGGAAGTAAGAAGCACAAAGCTAAACCACCATTCACTGAAGTCAAAGATTTTTCATTAGAAACCACATTACAATGGGCCAAAAACAGCATATTAGCTGCTAGTATTTTTTAACTCTTTATTATGAATTAACTAAAGGCTTACAGAGTAGGTCACAGCTTTGCATTTGACATTCATAAGCATCTTTCTTCAACTCTTCCATTGCAATCCCCTCAATGTACCACCACCTATCCCACTTCCTCCATTTGTCTCCACTCCTCCTTCTTGCTCAACCCTCTGAACTTTGCCCTGGGGTAAATGCTGATCTCCACTGGTTTACTAGTCTACCATAGATGTAAGTTCAGTTCCAGAAGAGAAGGGTGACTGAGGGCCATAGTCTTGGGAGATTCCACCAACCTCTATCCACCTAATAAGCCTGATCTCTTCCACAACTTTGAGTTTTGTTCCACATTTTCCTCTCACACTAACCAGGACTTTCTAATATGATCCTTTTCAGAGTAGTTGTTAGTGGTAGCCAGGCACCACCTAGTTCTTCTGATCTCAGGGTCATGGAAACTGATATTTGTGTAGTCCACTAGACCAGTGGGCTATGTGTTTCCATATGTCTTTCAATTTTTAACAATCTTTCCCCCAGATGGGAGAAGCCAATCTTTACACCTTCAATGACTGCTCATGAGCTTTTAAGACTCACAAAACTAGGATACAGAACCTTACCTGTGTGAACCATGTATGCCAATTGACCTTGGTGTCTCCTTAATGATGGTCCTGATTCCCCGGACCCAATGAACATGCATTTTTATATAATTAAATATAATGCCTTCCCACATAGCCAGCACCTTTTAGGTTTCACATTCCATGATTCACACTGTTACAGAGTTCTGCTTTACCTGTCTGTTGCCTTCCTATACCTTGTGATTGATTATCCACATGTAACCACGCCATTAAACTTATCCACTAGGTATGTCCTAAGCAATTCATCCTAAACCTTCATCTTCCTTTACTACTACTACTACTACTACTACTACTACTACTACTACTACTACTACTACTGCTACTATTAAGGTGATTGCTAAATGCTCACTTCTCTGTGCCTACCTGATCCTTAATACAGTCTAGCCTGGCCAAACAGTAACTTCCAGAAAGTTAAAAAACAAAAAAAAACCCTAACTTGTTAAATATTTAAAAATCTCTAACAAGAGACTCTCAAAACCTTCTAAGACTGGGTTCAAAAGAATACCCAGTGGTCACTTGTAAAATTTTCCTTAAAAATGTAAGATGAAAACTCAAAGATAATTAAAACTTATGGTATTCAATCAGCTAATGATTTCTTGATAAAGAAAACCAATACACCTAGCACTACATTAAGTACAACGAACCAGAACAGGAGTTTTTCTTGTTTTCAGTTTTTAAGTTCAAGACATAACGCTGTCCCCTAAGGATCACACAGCCACTTTAAGGAGACAAGACTAAACAACATGAAATACTCAGAAGGCAGCCGCATATTAAACTTTGAGTACAAAGTCCAACTGCCGGGAAGACTTTTTACTCTTAACCGATACGGTTTTGAACATCATGTTGCTGCTGCTGCTAAGCTACTGCCAAATGACCCACTCATGGCAACCCCGCGAACGATGAAGTTAACTAACATGATCCATGGGTACTCTTGACTAATTTTCTACAGCCAGCCAGGCCTTTCCTCTTAGTCTGCCTTAGCTAAGACCTGTTCAGCACCATAGCAACAGGTAAGCCTCCACTGGCAGATGAGTGGTCACTACACATGAAGTACAGTGACCGGGAATTACACACACATTACTGCTTATTAAAACCATTTTAAATAATAATGACAACATATGTACAAATATGCTTGATACAATTGATGTATGGATTGTTATAGGAGCTGTAAGAGTCCCCAATAAAATGACCTTTAAGAAAAATTCAATTTTACAGTAGCAGCTGTGCAGCTGGTAAAAAACAAAAACAAAAAACAATTTTCATATAGGAGTCTTCTGGAAATAGGTATTTAACTAAAAAATTACATAATTCGATATATAAAATACTGATTTATGCAAATTATGCCGCTATTTACAGATGTTATATACTAAAAAACTAAATCTGTCATGTCAAGCTATTTTATTACTTACATTCTTTTTAGATTGGATATTAGGAATACAAAGACCTGAGCCGGCTCAACTTCCTTTAATAATGAATACTGGTATTGAAAGTAAAACCACAATTATAATCATGTTCTACGGAGACGATGTCCAAATGACTGCCGAAAGGAAATCATCACACATTAAACTTCAAATCAATTAATAGTCCAGATCTGAAAGAAGTGTGGTCGCCACTAACCTGTTCTTTTTCAAATACACACTTCCAATTCCGCAGTAGGCCAGGCAGTCAAGGCCCTCGTTAGGGTATAATCTAAGAATCCGTTTGAACTGCTTTTCAGCTTCAGTTAATTCCTTCGATATCAATGAGAACAACGATGAATTACACAGGAAGAGAAATTCCCGAACAGATTTTATCTAAAGATTGATTTGTGTGTGTGTCTCTGCGTGTATGTGATACTAAAAGTAACTGTACATCCCAATATTCCTGTGGCACAATTATGCCTTCTGCTTTTAATTTTCCTAGCAAGTACATGTAATTTGATCACATGTCTACTCAGAGACAAGACCCAGAAATTTCTGCTTGAGACTTAAAAATGGGAGCCTCGCAGCCCACAGAGGATGTCTACTCCCTAGCACACACTGAGAGACTGGTGTGTACACACTGAAACCCTTGCTAGCTGCCACTGAAGTCAATTCCAACTAATGGCACCACATGTATCAGAATAGAACTGTGTTCCCCAGGGTTTCCAATGGCTGATTGTCTAGATCACCAGGTCTTTCCTCTGAGGTGTCTATGGGTGAGCTCAAACTGCCAACAATTCTGGTAGCAGACAAGGACATGAACTGTTTGCACCACCCAAGACTCCTGGCTAACACTTAATGCTGTCGTAAACTGTTGTACAGTTGGCCCCAACTCCTGGCAAACCCATGTACAACAGACTTGTGATTCATAGTGTTTTCATCAGCCAATCTATTGGAAATAGCCAGGCCTTTCTTCCTAGTCCACCTTAGTCTGGAAGCGCTACTGAAACCTGTTCACCATCATAGCAGCACATAAACCTCCACTGACAGCCGGGTGAAGGCTATGCTTCAAATGCGTTCACCAAGAAATGGAATTCTATGACCACGGAAAGGGTGAAAGACACTGTGATGCAACCAGAACACAGAGCAGAGTGAGTGCCGCTCCCCACGGCTGGAGGGTGGGCATCATTCCAGGGATACGGCCAGAATGTTTTAAGGAGCTGTCTTACAAAGACCTTTAAAGGAAATGTTTTATAGAGTGCTTATAGCTTCAACACCAGGAAACGTCTGTGCTTTGAAGGTTTGTGTGTGTGTGTGTGTGTGTGTGTGTGTGTGTGTGTGTGTGTATGCGAACGCTCGTTGTGGGGGATGGCATAATAGGGGTAAATCCAATCCAAAAGATGCTTAATTCTATGCAACACAGGTCCACCAGAAACATCAGGATGGGCGTCATGCTACCTCGGTAAGTTCAAGGTTTATTGGCACACTGAAGGTAACTTCCTGATTCTCTTCTACGTTTGTCTGAGACGCATTAGTGTTCACAAGCCAGCCCAGCTACATCAACTTTACCTTTATTTTTTTATTATCTAGGCCATTTATCAAGTGGGTAAAGGCCTTGAAAACACAGCGGCAGCGCTGGTCCAGCAAACTCTCGTAACCGTCTTGAATAAGACCTTTCAGCAGTTTCATTAAAGCAATAAAATCCTGCATAAAAGAAATTGTATTTCAGTAATCCCGATCTATACATCTGTAGTCAACAGGGAAGATGCCAAAGTTCATCACAGACCGCTTACATGTGCTAACTCATAACAAAACACGTCAGAGTCAATACCTGAATGACCCCTTAAAGTGCATTGTATTCCTTTGTCAACACAGCATCCTAACGTGACAACTGGATGGTACTGCGTGCCATCTCGATTCCCATGCCGCTGCTCTTGCTCATGACATGAGGGGTGGATCGCGCTACACAACACGGTGCTAGTAGGCCTTGCTCGTGCTTCCAGACTAAACAGACAGCATTTTGAAATGGTAAAGCCATGAGGAGAACAGTAGTCACCATGCAGATTAGTCAACTGGCTGAGACTAGGTACATTACACTTGAGAGCAAGCAATTGATTTACTCTCGGATCTTAACAACTGTCATCATGCTGTGGAATAAACCTTAGTTCTAAGTAGGCGATGGCTGCTTCAATCTTTCGCTCTACGCCTGACTAGCACATAATTAAATATAATTAGATAGCACTATCTGGAGAGAGATGTCAGAAGTAGCACATGAAAAAAAATTAAGTGACTGAGAAACCTCTCGTAGGTGATGGTGGGGTGGTTGCTAGGTGCTGTGGAGCTGAGTCCGACTCACAGCAGCCCCAGGTGACAAACTAGAACTGCCTCAGGAGCTATAATCAGGGGTTTCCCAGGCTGTAGTCTTTATGGAAGGAGATCGTTAAGTCTTTCTCCTGCGGAACCCCTGGGTGGATTCAAACTGGCAACCTTTAGGCTAGCAGTGACATGCCTAATGGGCGTGCCACCAGCAGAGCTTCTCTGCCTTTAAGCAAATGTGTACATCTGTTCTAGTAAACCATTTGAAACATGCTTCATTCCACTTATCCTTCCTGAAATTTTATATAAACTTGACCTAAAACTTTAACGGAATTTAAAAATGACCCATGTATTTACATATAAGTACTCTACTCTATGTTAATGTCCACTTTTCACCACTTAAATACCACAAAAAGAATTAGATAGATTATACGCAAAGCTTCTAAGCTCAAATCTTTTAAAAAATCAAAAGTTTAGTCCTCCCTAGCATCAATCCCCAAGTTTAGGGTCAACAGAGCCCAATCAAATGGGAGATAAAACTGTGTAGGGCCGGGGTTCTCAACCTGGGGGTCACGACCCTTTGAGGAGGTCAAACAACCCTTTCACAGGGGTCGCCTAAGACCATCAGAAATCACTGCTCCTCTATTGTCTCCATGTGGGACCACCCACATGCAAATACACCCACATACGAGTACCCAGTGTGAAGGCTGTTACGCATGCTCCACCATGCTTCAAGACAAAATTTCATTTTGTAATTAGAAATAAATATTTGTAATTTACTTGTAATTATAAATAAATATTTTAGAATGATGAGGGCAACAAATATGCAAATGTTCTTGACACAATTGTATGTATGGATTGTGATAAGAGTTGTATGAGCCCCCAATAAAATAAATAAATAAATATTTCACAATAATTACATGTTGTTTTTGTGATTAATCACTATGCTTTAATCATGTTCAATTATTAACAATGAAAATATATCCTGCATATCAGATATTTACATTACGATTCAAAGCAGTAGCAAAATTATAGTTATGAAGTTACAATGAAAATAATTTTAGGGTTGGAGTTCCCACAGCCCGAGGAACTGTATGACAGGGTCACGGCATTAGGAAGGTTGAGAACCACTGGTGTAGGGCAAAAACTCGTGGGCTGCGACTCAAGGTGGAACTGTCCTCTCATAGATGCCTCTTCTGGACAGTGTCTGGAGTGCTGGGTCATTGGGAAATTGATGATGATAATAGTGCAATCGCCTTATACTCTGGTTGGGGTGAGGAGGGCGTGGTGGTGGTGGTGGTGGTGGTGATGACAATGTGGTATTTCTCTATTCATATGGGGTTTTGCTTCCCTGCCTGTAGCTTGTGAGTGTGTGTGTTCTGTTTGTTTGGTTGCTGGTTGGCTTAAGGCTGCTATTGGTGTAGTTGGTCTGCCGGGGTTTGTATTTGTCATATTAAGAGTTCCAAAGTGAACCTGAGTTGTGCATACCCCACGGACAAGCAGATGGACTCTGGGTTCCCACTCAACTCTAGCCCCACATCAAGAACAGTTAGTTCTGATAACACGGCACTGCTCGTTCCTCACCTTCATGAAATGATCACTGAAGATAAGGGTGCTACAGAAAAGTGTGGTGAAGAAAGTAAATGGTGCCCTGCTATCAATGGGAATAGTGTCTGGGGTCTTAAAGGTTTGTATTCCAACAAGCAGCCATCTAAGTGAGGAGTCAACTAAGCCCACATGGGAGAAGTGCAGCAGCTTGTGAAATCCAAAGATGACAATTAAAAAATGTTAATATGGTGAAGGGAAAAGTATCAGAGGTAAAATTATGAACAACCAATGTGTAGAAGGCTATGGAGAACAGAAGGAGCCCAAAACCCTTCTACAGAGTGTCTAGCCAGATTAAACTGCTGGTAAATCCCTGCCAGCCATAGGCAACAGTCTCGTTTTTGATTTTGTGTGTCATTGGCTTTTGTTGTTGTTGCTATCCTTTTGTTTTTCTGTGTGCTTCCTTTGGTGCTGTCTAAAGACCCAACCTGAATTTGTTCTGGGTGCAGGAATCTCTTACTGTTCCATGACAAAAATTTTTTCCCTGACTTTTTAAATATTGATGGGGTCTGTTCTTACTCATTATTTATATTTTTATCTTTATACTATTATTTTACTCTTACCACTTTATTTCGATTTTGTTTTTTATTGTTTCTGTTGGGTTTCCAAGTTTGTGAAGCACAGAAGGAGTGGCTGCATAGTGATAATAACTGATGCAGGGTTTAAAGGGGATATAGTGTGTGATAGTTAGGGTAAATTACTGTGCCAACCTGGCCAAGAGGAACATGTAGGATTAATCAGGTCGCAATTTGATTGGCAGGCAAAGAGATAAATGGCTCTGCAAGGACATCACCACCCACCTTGCTCTCTGGTGATTGAAACATGCTAGAGCACGTGTGGTACACTACCTGTGGTTCAGGCCAACCCGTGGATCATGGCACTAGAGCTTGAGACCTGCTTCGCCACGCTGCTGGTGCGTATATTGCTTGAGCTTGAGGCTGGTGGATCCTGTCGCCATGCATTGCTTGAGTTCTTGAGTTCAACATCCCATCCAGGCCTGCTTAGCTAAGCTCCCAAGCTACTGACTTTTGGTGGCCCACCCTGCTGCTTGCTGCCTGTGGGCAGACTCTGCTTGACTTGCCCCAGGGAGGACTCTTCTGTCTGCTTCCTTGACTTTAGATCTGGCAGCCACGTGAGTTGAAGGACTTCCAGTATATTAACTGTGCCATGGAAGTGAGTTGAACTGAACCCTCTGTACTGCTCTGTGGAGTAATTAGCTGTTAAATTCCTTCTCACTGTATAAACCTATCCTCACATATATATAAAATCATAAGTGTCCTGGTTTCATTTCTCTAGAGAATCCTGCCTAACACATAGGGGTGGGGTGGCTGACAGGGAGGGTAAGGGAATTTCTGGAGTAAACAATGAAGGCAGGCGGAGGGAGGAAGCACTGGAACTGATTGTGTTTACACAGCTCATCTTAAAGTTGATTTAGTGCCCTGTCCCCACATATCATAATCTCAGTTTCCCAGGGGGAGAGTCTTGGTTGTATCCCCACAGAATTAGAATGTGCATACAGACCCCATGACGCGCCAAACCAGGAGGGCAACGTAACAGGTGGAGGAATCCATGAAAAGACTGGACTATAGGGCCAGTCCCAACCAGAGCCAGTCTGGCCCCCACCATGGAAGGGTGTGCCACAGGGAATGACAATAGACATTCTGGTGGGGGGAAGGAACCGACCTACCATGCCCAGATGGAAACGACCTACCATGCCCAGATGGAAATGGAAGCAAATGAAGGGGAAGGAAGGGAGTGGAGCACACCCTGGCCCACCAAGCCCTGAGGACAATAGCCCAGCTCAGAGCAGCCAATGCACAGAGAGGACCATATGGCCGGCCCCACTGTGAGACATGACATCCGGCACTGACCCAGAGCCCTACATGGGACAACACGGATGTGTGACCGAGCTGACCCCCCACCCCATCGAGGCAAAACACTAAGGGCGAACAACAGAACAGCACAAGGGGAGCAGAGCAAGAAAGTCCTGAGGGAGGATCAAGGGTAGACTTTGGAGCCAGGGTGTGGCACGCCTGCTGGAAAACACTCTTAACAGTCAACAAAGGGACCCTGAACTACTTACAGACTTCCTTTTTTGGTTTGTTTTTGATTTTGTGTGTCATTGGCTTTTGTTGTTGTTGCTATCCTTTTGTTTTTCTGTGTGCTTCCTTTGGTGCTGTCTAGTTTTATGTGCATGTTATTATCTCTGCAGATCTATCTAGGTAAGATAGGCTGGAAGAACAGTCTGGAGGAGAAAACAACGGGACTGATGGTTCTGGGGGGACATGGGAGAGGGAGAGGTGGGGGAAAGGAAGTGGTGTTGACCAACCCAGAGACAAGGGAAGGTTCTGGGGGGACATGGGAGAGGGAGAGGTGGGGGAAAGGAAGTGGTGTTGACCAACCCAGAGACAAGGGAACAACGAGTGATTCAAAACCAGTGGCAAGGCAGGTGTGGGAGGCCTGGTAGGGAGTGATCAAGGGCAATGTAACTGAGAGGAATTGCTGAAACCCAAATGAAGGCTGAGCATGATAATGGGACAAGAGGAAA